TTTTTTTTTTTTTTTGTTCATGCAATATATCAATAAACTGATGATTTAACACACCCGTAAGAATGACCTTTGCTGCAGATAGAGTTTTGAGCATTATGTTGTTCATTGTTCATTTTCGCGCAGCGTAGTGACTAATAATTATATGACTTACATCCGTTGACCGGCGTAATGAATAGGCAATTWCAGTACACCAGCGCGCGCGTGGCCTTCAAATGATATCGACGGACATTTAAGACAAACGAATGGGAATGTTTTAGATGTAACGACAAAAATCACACGATAAATTATTGTTATTGACATGCCTAACATGTAAAGAAAATTATAAATTTTATCCCACGCGTTGGGCAGAATTTATCGTCTCTGTTCATGTTCTTGCAGTTGTTATGGCAACAGCGGCCAAGCACCGTTTTAGCTCTGTGCGGATTATTTATTTTTTGTTTTGAATTCCACTTACTTGTTAGATGGTTTCCGTATTTTCACTTGCGTATAGTTCTACAAAGTTTTGTCGATGATTGACCGTATATTGAGACCAGTAGGTATATCTGAAGTTTTTTAAACTATCGTGAGTTTATGGGATTTTCATTCACCACCGCATGTAATGTCAAACCTATATCAATTTCAGATTGAATATTGTAATCGATAGTAAAGTACCCTTACCGTGTTTTGCCAAACAATTCCCTCTTCACCAAAACACGAAAACATCATATTATTATTTATTAAATCCAGTGTTCTGGAATGAGTTTTATTTTTTCATTATAATATTGCCTTCATCCCTACATGATAGGACTCCACTGTAAATACGGCTATCACACCAACGATAAACGTGATAATGCAAGATATATTTTTTAATTCCTCCGATGTATGGATTTATTGGATCCAGATTCATTTATTTTTTTCTCTTATTCAATTTGTCAATCGTGACGTATGTAAACAATTATTTTACCAATTTACTATTGTTGGTTAGGATCTATTTTTGAATAAAATTGTTTACACAATAAAAATTCATTGAACTCAAAAATCACACAAGCTTGACTTCATTTAACAATAGCATGATATGCGCATCTCAATTTGTGTAAAAAATAGTAAATTTTCGTAMAGTTATCAACTACAGTGATATGTCATTTGTTAATAATATTGTTTGATACAAAACATATTAGTGTACAAACGATTGTGATCTACCTAAATATATTTGTATTAAACTTATAAAATAATTAAAACRCATTAACTTCATCAACACCGATATTCGCTTAACTGTGAACTATATCAATTATATTATTTCTGACGTAAAAAAATACTTAACTATAATTAACCAACATAAATTGTGAAATATTTCTTCGTTCATTCAAAAGCAAACCAGTGAAAACTCCGTATAATATGATCCTTGATAATACCTTTACAAATAAAGTGATCGTACATAATAATAATTATTATTACGTATTTTTTTTATTCACATACGTAAAAACAACAATAAGTCGTATCATATCACAGCGATATTCTTACTCGATTAAACTGTATATATTTAACATTTATATAATATGTTGAATTATAATCACGTCAACTGATTATTATCGTTCAACCGAAAACATTTTATAATAACTCAATATAATATTATATTAGATAATAAAATTGTATAGATGAGTTGCTATTTTAAACGAATGATCTAGATAACCACTGTGTGAAACTATTATTGAAACACAACAAATAATTATCAAAATTTATGTCCATCTTATAATTTCACGGTAAAGTATCGTTATAAGGCGTGTGATATTATGTAGGGAGGATTTAAAATGGCCCGGCGCGTTATAACCATAAATCCACTATAGCCATTTCCGGACATTGGACCGAACAGAAAAATGCRCGTACGCAAGTATAATAAGGAAGCCCATAAATGTTCTCCATTATATTATAGCCAATTTTCTTTCCTAACTGCATCCGTTTCGAAAACGATTTCCTCAATAAGTATTGACGTTAATGCCGCTACTTGAATGAGCTCATGAAAAAAAAAGGTTCGTTGAGATCGACTAGGCAGGTAACTATATTATGCCATTTAAACTAAACTTGAACGGGTATACCCATATTTTCACAAATTTCCTAAAATTTCCCATTGTCCGTCTGAAATTTATACCAACCATTTCATATTAAACATCATTCATTTCAGAGGATCAATACTGTAAATTCCTTGTTTATTATAGCGCAAAATGTAATTAATAYATAATATCCGTTAGGGGTATAAGTCGATATTATCTGATGTTCAACGATACTAACTAGATC